TCCTCCTCGTTTCGTGAAAGAAACCATTTCCGTATCTCCTTCCATTCTGCCGACTACTTCGCTATCAACCCCTGTTTCCGGTTCTGCAAAGCCGCCGCGCCGACGAGCTCCTCTCTTCCTCGCATCGCGATTCCGCGAACGCCGCTTATCACTCTTCATCGTAACCATCTCTATTCTTATACAGATCCATCTCACTTGAACGGCGTAGTAAAACGACGATAATTTCTATAGATACGTCGCTCAAGGTTGTATTGTATGTATTTCGTCTTCGCGTCGAACGTCCCCGGTTCACCGGTTTAATTCAAAATCATCGACGATCCCTGGCCGTCTCTCGCATCGCCTGCTTGTCTGTGCCCAATGGCCGCGATACACACTCGAAACAGATAAATCTCGCCTTGGTTTCCTTCGTTTTCGCGTGGAAAATCTGCCCCCACCTTTTCTTCTTTGTCGCGCTTTCCATTCCACCTCCTCCCCGGATAATTCTGGATCGCGGTCTCGTTCCTACCCGCGTGTTAGGTCTCTATCCCTATCCCCGCCCCTGGCCAGAACCGCGGCAGAGCCGAATCGGATGGAAGGAAGGCAGCCAGGCAGGCCCCGCTGCCCGACTGACCGTCCTCGACGTCTGTTGCACGTTGTACCTTTACTCCGGTCTGCGCGTTCTTCAGGAACGTACGTGCCGTTCTCCCAACCGCGTGATTCCTTGCCTCGCAAAGGCAGCCGTCAACTGTGACCGGTGCAACGTGCATACTCTGTCTTCAGTTTCGAATTCGAAGTCAGCAACTAACTAATAAGCATAGAGAGTCAACGCTGCCCGACCGCGTATCCATCGATATCCAGCTATCTTTGGTTTCTTACTTCTTGCTTGCTTGCTTGTTCGCCGTCCACCAGAGGATTCAGTTCTTTTCTCTTCTTCTTTTTTTTTTTCGTTTTGAACAACTACGTAAAGAGATATCAGTGATATGGCCCAGTTGATTAACGTCAAGCTCTCGAGGTTCGACGGATCGCCCTGGGGCTTCCGTCTTCAGGGGGGCAAGGATTTTGGCACCCCGCTCGTCGTACAAAAGGTGAGCCTCTCTGTCACTATTGATGCTATTTTCTATCCTTCTTGTTCTCTTTGTTTATTAGCTGTTTAGCTATTGACGTGACTGTTTCGAGACTGGATGGAGGGAGACTAGGTAAAATGCGACAAATTTTGAATTATTGTATTTCACGAATCGACATTAGAGACTTTCAGCGCTGAATGTGTGTACTATCAAACTCTTGGCTGTCTATCGATTTCCTTGTTTTCATCATCGCGAAAAATTCACTGGTTTTACATTATCATTATTATCAGATCACTCTGATAAAGGAAATTAATAGAGAAATTTAAAGCTTGCTGCGTCAATGACTTGTCATCAACGCGTACCTTCGAATCATCACTGAAAGTGCTCTACGAATTCACGATTTGCAAATACATTCAGATAATTCCCGCATAGTAAAAAAAAAATAGTAAAATATTCGTATCAACGACGAAATTCAATGAAATTGTTTTCAACGAAACATTAAAGCTGATCACTGTGACGTTTATCAGTAATGACCAACTTTCGGCTGCGATCGGGTACCAAGGATCGTTTCGTTCTTTCGACGCATTCGACGATTATAAAAACTGGCTTTTTCGCCATAATGGAACTGCGAGTGGACGTTACGTAACGTAGGCTAGCAAACGCCAAATTATTTCACGCGCATCGGTAGAAATCGCTGCCAACTACGTGCGAAACGCGCGGACCGTCGTCGGCTACCGTCGTGTTTTGGCGACGAGGCACACTGTAACACGAGAAGCTTTTGGCCGCTATCGCCATTCACTTTCGCGCGAATTCTCTACTTTCTTCGTTTATTTCGACGGCTCGATTAGATAAATTTTACGAAATACCACTACATACCGAATGTTATGTCATATAAATCTTCGAACAGCCAATAATGTGTATGTATACATATATATATGTATATGCGTTTTCGTTATTATGTTTATAATCGTTGTGCAAGAAAATGGCGCGATGTATTTTAAGAGCAACCTGTAACCGGCGCGACGATAAACCGCCGATCGTAGAACAATATTTCAATTGGCAATTTCACTTGTCAACGGAAGAAGATGAGGAGGCGTGACGTGTACGATTTGGACGACGTTCGCGTCTTGAAACAACTTTTGGAAAATGCGAGCGAATTTCGCGTTTTCCGCCCGTTTCGAACGTGTTGGACGCTGCTTTTATCTTGCGATCGACATTTCGAACTTGGCCTTCTTAGCAGCACGTGCTCCGTTTATTTTACGAGGCCGCAAATACATACGACGTCCGGCCGCCCTCGAGTTTCTCGGAAAAGGAGAGAATTACGAGTCTAAGGCGGTGTCAAACGGCTCCCACCCGACGGAATTACAAATTAATCGCGAATTAATTGCTTCAATGAAGCTTGCCGTTTCATCGTGCTTGCAGCTATCGCCGGGATTTATAGATCCTGCTGCTATCGTGTTAATCGCGGCTGGAGAAGCGACTCCGCGACGAAGGAAACATCCCTCACGACTCTTCGGCATCGTAAACTTCGAAGACGAAACTCGAGCGATCGCTTTGTTATTTACCTATCCCAACCGGTCACTTGGCGCACAGATCTATTTAAAGGTTATCACGGGGAGTTCCATCGGACGAGCACGTAAGATCCTCTAGATGTCTGGCATACCGTTGCTTTTTCACCGCGCGCGAACGTTTGAAGAATCGACGAAGCAAAATATTTCGAAGCTTTGATGGTGGAGAAAACGATCGAGCCGAAAACGTGCGTTCAGAGAAATAATTGGAGGAAACGTTTTTAAAAAAAATCGATGCAGTTCGAAAAAAAGAGGAAAAAGGAAGGAGAAAAAGGGGAGAGAGAGAGAGAGAGAGAGAGAGAGA